ATACTTACCACATGGATTACCATAATCTGTTCTAGCTCCAAAATCTGCAGCGCGGGTATAGTCTGCAGTGCGACCATAATCGGCGGTGGCGGTTGGCCCATATCCTCCGACGGCTCCGGTTGCTGGTCCATATCCTCCTCCCATTCCAGGCGCTGTAGAAGTGTATCCCATTGCCGCGCTTCCCACGTTTTGTCCATACGCTCCACGATCGGTGTACCCAGTTCCGAAGTCTGCTCCACGTCCACTAAAGTCTCCAGCGCCACGATTGTAATCGGTGTACCCCGTTGCGACGCCACCTGCAGCAGATCCATCGTAACCAACGAGTTGGATCGGAAGAACTGTAAAGCATGCCGAGATAATCAGTTGGTCTTTTAGTCTGCATTAAAAACATGTATTATTTTAATTCACTACTTCCTCATTGTGATCAATTGGTTTTCGTGAATTGAAAAATAAAGTGCAATAAATATATGTTCTAATAAATTTAATAAATACAAAATTCACATAAAAGTATAAGGAACAATGAGAAAGTAGTTCGATCGAAATGAAAATGATGTACGTATGTTTACTGACCTCTTCTATCATTGTATGGTCCAGGACGAGCGTCTCTACCACCGTCTCGTCCTCCTCTACCACCTCTCATTGGTCCACCTCTTCTGTCTCCATCCCTGCGTCCTCCTCCTCCCCCTCGTGATTTGCCAGTTGACTGTTCCACATTGATTGTCGCCCCTTTGAAGTTGGAATTGTGAAGAGCTTTGATCGCTGCCGCTGCGTCTTCCTCTCGGGCCATGTGGACAAACCCATACCGATTCATGACATCGCATTCCGTTACTTCGCCAAAACGTAAAAATAATTGTCGCAACTCATCGTTGCGACAATTCTCTGGTAACCGACCCACAAATATTTTTGTTTTTCTCTGGAAAATTTAAATGTGTAGTTAGTCATATTTCTTTACGATATTTATGTATGTAATATATAGTACATATAAGTAGTTAAAGATGACACTATTCAAATAAAAAAATATTGTATAATTGTTTGTACCCCTAAAATCGACCATACTTTTGTACATCGAAAGTATGGTGTCTGTTTGAGATTTAATCTTGCTCAAATGATATTATGGAATTACAAAAATCATACAATAATGATAATGTAATATTATTGAGCTTGTTAATTTGAAGATTATTTAATACTACTAAAGTATATAAATAAACTTAAGAATTATACGTTACATACCTATGCTTACATTTTTTGTTAAATACATAAAATATTATATACAATGCATAAATAATGAAATTATTAACAGATGCAAGATAATAAATACAATTTACTATTAGCATTGTTCTTACCGGTTGATTAGACGAAACCATTTTCTGAAAATAGAAAAACGTTAGAATCATTATTCCTTATTTATCGTAATTTTAGTATTAAATAATTTTATTTCTATATTAATATCTAATCTAAATATCTTATAGTATAGTATTTGCACAAATATTACATAAATTTTTTTCATTTAGTACTCAATTTATATTTTTGGTAAAAAGATTTTAAATATATA